AAATATTTTAAGATGGAATTCTAAAAGTATCACGAGGAACAAAAGAAAAGCATTCTAAAGGCTTGCATATTATGGCTTTGTATGCCCCCCAAATTCTTGCTGAGTGATTGCATTTTCCTCCAATTTTGCTTGTAACTTAATGGAGTTGCCCCAAATTCTCACCCAATTTTGTCCCAAGAAAGGCTGTTCAACGTTATCTTTCAAAGAAGAGGTGAAGGTGGCACAGTTCAAATCCCAGATCCTTGGTTTTCTAGCTCTTGCTTGAGGGAAGTCCCCTCATATTATTGGAAACTCATTTGTCTCCGCTCATAAAAAGAGTATAGAAAATAATATATCCTTTGTAGGGCTTTACCAACATAATATGTGTAGAGCACTTGTTGCATGGCAGACACTCAATTTGCCTACCATTAATTTTAGAGTTATTTTTGATACATTACATTTACACACGTGTATCATATTATATTTCAGAGATCAAATTCAACACTTGGCATTTATTCCTGTTCAGAATTCTGAGCTAATGAAAAGCACTCTTTGTTGGAAGTTACCTTGCTATAAAACAAAATGAAAAAGAGTTGAATTATGATGGTAAATACATTTCCCAGTGCTTCATCCATCAACAAAGTAATTAATAAATCCAAAATAGTATTTTAGTTCTTATTAAAAACAAGCACTAAACCTTATCTAGTGATGCTGTGGCAATGGAATATGGTGAGTTCTAGCCAGGAGTTACTGCTATTCTGGGCAACATATTTCATATATTTCAAATTTATGGCAGTGCTTTTGTGACATAAAATTTGTTTATATCAGTATGATGATATTAGCCAGATAAAATAATAAAGTTTAAATATTTCATACTTTTATCTCCTAGTAACATACAAAGCAAAACATATATGCAGTAGTCAGTTGCTGATAATTAGAGAATGCTTAGTAAGTACCAGGCCTTGCTCTAAATTCTTCACCTAGAATATCCTTTTGACACAATGCGCTCTGTCTATTACCATGCCAATTTTATAGCTGATGGAGTAAAGTCAAGGAGAATTTACGAGGCCAAAGTTCACACAGCTAGGAAGCAGCACGTGCGGTCTCACACCAGAGTCAACTCATAACCACCCGCATCTTTGCCTCTCACACAAGCAAAATGCTAACTCCTCCAAAGCTCACATGGTAGTTCTCATCCTCCTTCTCTTCCTTCTCCTTTTAATTTATTTTTGAATCCCTCAGGCTTTCAATTAAAGTAATGTCTACTTGGCTGGCATTCAAATATTCTTACTCAATTTCATTTGGACTGTGAAAGGGCAGACATAGCTGTGGAATTAGGTAGTATCACTAATGAGTCTATTTGAGAAGCAATTTAACAACCCTTTTCTTTATCTAGTAATATTTATGATAATGTGCCTCATCCTCTATGTATTTAGGAGAGAGCACAGCCTAATAAACAGGAAAATGGACTGAGGGTCTTACAGCCAACACTCCAGTACAACTTTAAGGCAAATCTGAACAAATCATTTTGACTTCCCGTTTCTCCAAACCCTACACCCGGGAACCCCTTTATATTAATATATTGTTCCTCATATATATTTGGTGTAATTTAAGTTATGTATCATATGTTCTATCATGTTTAAATTGGAGGAGACTTTCTGAGTGTATAGTGTGTGGTTCTAATATCGTGAGTATGGAATAAAATGTTGACTCTGCCAATTATTAGCTGTGTGATCGCGGGTGAGTCTCGGTCTCTCTCAGCCTCAATTTCTGAGCTGTGGAATTCAGGAACTTTTGTTAAATTTCACAGAATTATTGCATCTAATGCATAGGAAAATGCTTTGTAAGTGCATTAGGCT